GCTGCCTTCCTACTTTGGAGTTTTATGGTCATACAGACACAGTATGGTATGGTAGTACTTTTTATTTCCATAGGATTACCCATATACCAACTGCTGTACTGGTAACTTTAACCCGTTCCCGACGGGCATGCCATGCCATGCCCTCTGTGAGATTACTTGTTTGATTGTTTTCACACACAGATGGCTACACTTGTACTAAATCACCAATGAGCCACTTACGAGTACCGCCTGTCTCGCCCGTTCACCCTTTTCTTTGATTTATGAAATATTTTACGTTATCTTATTTTGCTGTTACTAATGTTAAAAAACATTATAATAATTATAATGTTTATAATAAAAATAACACCATCGATCTTCATGGCACTAGTGAAAAATACATTTTTCCCGCTGCACTAACAGAGCCATCTATGGGCAAACATTTTACAAAAAAATATAGAAAATAGGCACAGCATTTCCCCCATTTTTCGTTCATTTTTCCCAGCGGCAATGGGTTAATAAGTGTATATTTCATCACAGAGATCCAGACTGTATCCTCCCTCCCCTGCAATTGCTAGCTATAAGACTTGAGGGGACTGTTCTTCTTAACTTTTGTTTTTCAGAGTATTAAATTTCATTCTTCATTCTTTCATTCTCACTTCAAAGTCACAAAAAGGTAAAAAGTGATTGTAAAAAACTTAAAGAGTAAAAGAAAGATGGACCAAGACAGAGAGAGAAAAAAATGAAGACTTCACAATACTTAAATTAGGACAATTTCTGAGCTATGTGCTAGGATAAGGCTCATTTTCATAAAAAAAGCAGTGGCTAGGGTATGACTAAGCCAATTTTATTTGTCTGGTTATAGTATAATTCTTCAAAACTGCATATCCAAAAAATTCAGTTCTGGACAATATTTCATTTATGTATAATAAATAGACTGTTGCAGCAAAATATGATTACAGTATAGGCTTGTTGGGGACTGTCAACTCTGCTCTGGCCTCTAGACATTTAATGAATCAAAATGTTTCAGTACAGTAATTGAGCACTGTACAATGGCAATTATTTGAGAAGAAAATGAAAACTGCTCTTTTTCAGAACATTCAAATGGTTCAGAACACCCTATGAAATTCTGTAGGGCTTGGTAAGATTTGGTAGATGAAAGATAAAAGTTAATATAGGTGGCTTATTTTTTTCCCCAGTAGATACTCCACTTTTCAAGCAGTACTTTGCCATTCCCATTCCTTAATAGTTTTGTTGGCATAATTTAATAAAAACTTTTATATTCTTTTCACAAAATAGGGATAATCATTCACATTTCTTAATTTCTCTTCATGTTATCCTTTATTGATTTGTTGCATGATGGTTAAAAAGTAACAATTTTCCTTTATTTTTTTTCTAAGCCCTGATAAACTTCATGGATATTACTGGCCTATGTTTTCAAGAAATGAGCAAAATGACAAAAAGGAAAAATGGAAAAAAATATTAAACCTTGATTATTATGCTAAACAAAATATGCAAATGCTATAGACAATAAGAAATCAAGACATTCCCTGATAATTAATTGATTGATTGTCCAATGTGGTTCTGCTTTAATTTTGTTAACACATATCATTAACTTCCCGATCTCACCTATTTACTCCTTTTATTGAATCTGAGATTTTTTTTTTTTTATTTGAGTAGTATTATAATTGTTATTTATGCTTGTATTAGTATTATCATTACTAATATTATAAATCTGCAAACAATAATAATAGTAATGACCATATAAAACCACAAAAATTCATGAAATGGAGTGAATAGGTGAGGTACGGTAGCCCTAGTAATTAACTTGCTAGTGAACATGTGCTTTTGGAGTTATCTATCAAACAATATTTATAAAACAAAACCACAATAAACAATCCAGGTCTAAATGCACTCCTAGCACCAATGAGTTAACTACATTGGCTGCAATCAACTGAAAAATAAATATACTTTTGTTCCATGTCATTCCTGTGAAAAGAGAGAGAGCAGAAATAATATACTTCAGTTTCACAACTAAAATCATACAAAGTTAGTGAAGGGGAAGTTCTAAAGATGCATCATTCACTTAATACACCATCATCATCTACTTTATTGACTGACATGGCAAAGGTAATTAATTTATATGATCACAAATCATTATATATATATAAAAAAAGAAAATTGCTCCAAATCACTTGGTCACCTTAAAGAAAATGGGGGACCAAATTCACATTTTTGAGAACTTCTCCCTCACTCTTAAGGGTAACAGAAATGGAGGTTCTCCTCGCATGGCCTTTATTTCAACTTCCCCCACCCAGTACTCCTACCCTTCCCTCTTCCCTTCCTTTGGGGGAACAGGATAATCCCCATTCTTCCCTTTCCTTCCCATCAAGCATCCCATTCCATTCACCTTCTTAAGAGGAATCACATTCCTTTGAGCTATCTCTTTAAAAATTGATACAAGATCGCATTGCCAAGAGACCTTCTGCTTACAACGCTCTCCTTTAGGGATCCTCCTGGAAAAGAAAGAGAAAGTATTGAGAATCCACTTCTTAAATATAATTCACAATGAACTGGATTCATTATCTTTTCATATGGCCTTTGTTAAAATAAACTACAAAATGAGCACAAACTATTCATCATCTAAATGTAAAATGCAAAACCATTCTTTAAAAGTCATGTTTTTCCCACAATACAATCATCATATACAAATGTTCACTATTTTTATTAGATAATTATAATACTCACTTTGGAGCAAAACAACAATCAAACTCACACTGCTTTTAATGACAGTAATGTGCAGCTCATGTCATTTTCCCTCCTCCTTCCATTACTCAGTAAAAGCTGTAGGGAAAAAGAAAATCCAGCTATGTTAGAAGAACAGTAATAGCGACACATCATTCTTCAGCTCCACTATAATTACCCAAAGAGTAATTATTGTAATTTCAATAAAGTAGACATAAATCTCATATTCCCAACACAAAATTATACTTGAGAGAATTTCAAAAACAAAATTTTAAAAACTTACCCAAAGCAACCAAGATGCAGGGCCAACCAGATGTTTTTACTGTGTTCCTTAAGGTGTGCAAGGACATCTTTGGTCATGTCGATGGCAATGTAGTAACCCTTTTCACTCTTAAAACCAGGTACCCCATTGACACAACAAGGCACCCCAGTGTCACAAACTTGATGTGAACTTTACTTTTTTTTTCTCTTAAAGTTCAACTGCGAGTTAGAGTCTCTCCTTGCATACTGGAAGAACCATCCAGTCACACTGGATCACTGTTGAAACAAGGAGGTGGCATCAGTATCAGATCTTGGAATGTTTTTTAGAAACCAACTTACCAGCCCAATAGAAAAAAATGAATAAATAAATAAATAAATGCATCATTCCACACTGGATACACTATGTCTACTAATTGTTTTACAGCATTGCAAGGCATTTAATGACAGATAGATTAAATAGAGAAATTTGAAATTTATTGCTTCAGAAACATCAAATTTTAGTCAATTAAATTTTTTGTCTTTTGTTGTTTTTTTCTTTAAGACACAAATAAGCACTGATACTGAATAAAAAAAAGAAAGAAAAAGAGCAACTTATCAATTGTATCTGAGTAAGGATATTGATTGAAACACAAGTGAAGGTAGTCAGAACAATCAGCATAACAGCTGGTGAAAAAGTTCAGCTCTGGGCTGATGAGTCAACTTTACCTGCTGAGCCACAGACCGATGCTGATTCCGGCAGCTTTGATTCTTGAAAGTTTGGGGCATATTTAGGTTTATGCCACTACTGTGTTAAGAATTAAAAGTGAGCAAAACTTGTCACCGTTGTGCATTGAGAGACACTTCCAGCTGGCCATGGCAAGCCAACCTCTGAAGGCTCTGCTGTTATTATGAGTATTATAGTGAGTATTATCATTATCATTATTACTATGACTGAAATGCAGTGTTTTAAAAGGAATTCTAATTTAAGAATTCCTTTACTCTTTTTATCTGTCTGTTGTTACTCAGAGCTTGTGGATGACAGGATGCATACACGAAGGTGACACAGTTTTGTAAACCAGTGCTTACTACATACATGGTTGGTTAACCAAAATGAACAAAAAAAAGAAAAGAAAAGAAAAAAAGGTATATTTATAGTAATAATAATAATAATAAAAAGTGGTGGAAATTAAAAAATGATAAATGAAAAACAGAGAAGGATATAGATATTCAAATATATATATAAAATAAATAAGATAAGATGAGAAATGAGGACACTGTCATTGTATATAAAAATTTGGTATGTGTGTGTGTGTGTGTATGTGTGTGTGTAGTCTCATAGCCCCCCTCCAGCCCTCCTCCCCCGAAACTCTAACACACTGGACCGTCACCTGTCTTGCCCGCACAGGACAAGTGACTCAGGACAAGAGTGCTCCCTAAAGCATTGCCTAGTATCACAAATGAAGAACCACAAGGAGACGGGAGACACAAAAATAAAGAAAAAAAGAAAAAAATCAATAATAAATAAATAAAAAAATAAAAAAAAGGAAAAAAGTATATATATAAAAGCATTTCTTTGAAAGGCTTGGTGTGTGAGGACAACACGCAGGTCCGCAGTGAGCCAGGGTGATATTGAGATCTGCTCGTCGCGGACTGCTCCTGAGTAGCTCTCTCTAAGGGTGGTGACCCGCATGACACGAGTTCACTCACTCAAAAGTAGGATAAAACGTGAAGCCGCCGCCACTCAAGGTTGCATGAGCTTTACGGGTCGTTGTCATTCAGGGACGTTTTGAACACAAGTGAAGAACAACAATGACAACAACCAAAAAGGGAAAGGGGAGTGTTAGAACTGAGCTTGTACTTGGGCTCACTACTTGCGACTTTTTTTTGGCATGGGGGAGAGACGGGGGAACTAGAGAAGTGAAGTCATGCAACCTTTCATGAGGTGATAAATGAGCCACTGATAGCCAGGTACCAGTCAATGCCATAATAAGCATGCTAATAATTATCATGATCACTTTTTAAAAAATTTAAACACCTAGTTCATTTACTATAAATTTATTTTTTCCTTAACCTATGTGAAAACACATATTCAAAAAAATGAGTTCATGATTTCATCAATTGCACAAAAATTTACAAATCATATAAGAGATATTGATACAAGATCTCAAAACCTTAAAGTGAATGACTTTATCTGGACATGACAAGTAACCCAAATCTATATGAACATTGTCATATGATTATGAATTTGGTCCAAGATTTCTCTCATTAAATTTTTTTTTTTTCACTTTTTTCTTTTCTTTTTTTTTTTACTTTTTAATGTATTTTTTTTTGCAATCTTAAAACAGATGTAGTCTCTAAGTCTAAAGTAATGGAGCATAACACTAAATTCCAAATACAAGTTGTATCATCAATTATAGACTAAATTTGAGGCTACTGTCGAGAGTAGCACAAAGTGGCAGGGTGGCTGAGTGGTCACGGCTTGGTGCCTTTAAGGGCCTTCTCTTGCTTCATCGTCATCCACGGGGTTCCCCCCATTGGGATCCGCATTAACCTCCCCCTTTATTTCCGGGTCTTGGGGAGTCATGGGAACATCGGTGTTTATCTCTGTCTGATCCACTATAGCCTCCCCGTTCTCCTCTGCCTGGTCCATGGTCTGGGGTTTTGCCCCTTCCCCCTCGGGGACGGCCGGACTGTCCACATTAGCTTCACTAGTGGCTGACGCCTCCCCTTTATTTTCCTCATCTTTAATGTTGCCTTGCATGGCTGCTTCCGCCAATATTTTATCCACATCCTGTAAATTGTGTGAAATACAATGTTAATACCGTGTGGGAGAGGGCTTGGGCCTGGAGGGACCCGAAACACCTCACACTCTCTCTCACCTCCACCTCCTCCATCTCCTCCTCTTCTTCCTCCACCTCCTCCACTTCTTCCTCCTCCCCCTCCTCCTCCTCCTCCTACACCTCGTCTTCCTCCACAACAACACACCCACACTACAAAATTTAGACTTAACTAATCAACAACATAGAGATGTGAAAACAATTTTTTTGTCTGTTTGTCTTTTTGTACTTTTTTGTTTTTGAGACATATTACATGTAAATAAATATAAAAGCAATGAATCTTTTATATGTGGGATAAGCAAAGCCAATGAAATTTAAAAGGCAAATCATTTTGTTTTTTATCTTTTTTTTTTTTTTTTTTTTGTTTTGTTTTGTTTTTTGAGACATTTGATCACTATAAACAAAGAAGCAACAGAGCCACAGAGCTCATAGGTCAGTCACTGGTTCCGAAGCTGGTCTTACTTAAAGGATACAGTGCCATGCCCTCCCCTTCCCTCCCTCCCACTCAACAGGCATCTCACCCTCCTCCCCTCCCACCGCCATCCCATATGCGGTGATGTTATCGAGAGCTCAACAAAACACTCGAGACGGAGCCACAGCACTCTGGGAGGAGGGCGGGCTGGGCCTCTCCTCACACAGGGTTAGGCTGTTAATGTTAGTGGGGGATGCTGTGTTTGATTTCCTCCTCAGACAACATCACCTCATAGCACCCAGCATTAGCAGTGTCATCGCCGTCATCAACACCACCAACTCCAACTCTAACTCACTCCCTCTCTTACGTCCTTATACACTCAAAGCATTCACTCTTCCATTGCACTTGATATTCATTTCTCATTCATATTCTCTCTCTCTCTCTCTCTCTCTCTCTCTCTCTCTCTCTCTCTCTCTCTCTCTCTCTCTCTCTCTCTCTCTCTCTCTCTCTCTCTCTCTCTCTTTTCTCATTCTCCCCTACCCTTTAATCCCTTGTTGATAGCCAGTCATGAGGGGAAAGGATGGTGAGCGACCCAAACAACGACCAACATAAAGAGTCACGCGTCCATAGCCAGACCTCGGCACAACATATGCAGCAGACAGTCACCATAGCACACAGACACTGAGCCCCAACAGTGACTGGCTGGGAAAAAAATGAAAGAAAAAAAAAAGAGGAATAAAAATGAAAAAGAAAGAAAAAAAAATCCCATCACTAGGAATATTAGATTCTCTCTCCCTTTCTTCCCCCCTAATCCCATCCCCAAGCAGTGTTCTGGGTCTGCGCAGTAGTAAATAATTCTGTTTGTGTAGAGCAGCTCTTATGTCTGACCAGGAAAAGGGAATGGATCCACACTGTGAAGGATTGCCAAAGAAGCACAAAATAGCTGTAGAGAATGTGTAATAATCATAACAATAATAATACTAATAAGGAAAAAACAAATAAAATAATGAACCCATCACAACAACCCATTGACCCCTTCCTGTAGTGCTGCCCTACACCAGCAGAATTC